CTATGCAAACAGCCAGAAGTACTTGAGCAGCTGAGTGGATTAAAAGAATTTTGGATGGATGGTAATAGACTGACTTTTATTCCAGGGGTATGTATATCAAATATTAAAGGATTTCACTTACTGTCTTCCTTTGACAGTTCTATGGTTTTTAATTAGTAACAAAATATTTTATTAAGATTCTTAAATGTAAAAAAAAAAAAAAGATTCTTAAATGTAGGCAAATTACTTTTATGTTAAGAGCATGTAGATTCTTGATTAAAAGCAGAAATTTTCCTAAATAAACTGTCTAATTATTTTTTTTTGATACTGTATACTGTGTCTTTATCAGCCCTAGCAGTTGGCCTCATATTCTAATCCAGTTTTCTTAGGGAATTGCTAAAATAGGAAATTTTCACATACTTCTCAACTGACAATTGTACATTCTTAATTCTAAAGAAGTCATGAGAATCCCCATATTTGTTATTTTCCTTGCAGATGATGGGTAGCTGAGTTCTCAAAGAAAAGTACACTGTTCTGCAAAAATGAGTAGGAACTCTTAGCTTTTATTACTGAATGCATTATAATGAAAAACTTTTTTTTTTAGTTTTTTCTCATAAGAACATTGAATTATGTGTTGTAATTTGTATTAGGTCTATTAATGGAACTACTAGATTTCCCTTTTTTACTTACAGTTTATTGGTAGTTTGAAGCAGCTCAAATATTTGGATGTTTCTAAGAACAATATTGAAATTGTTGAAGAAGGAATTTCAGGATGTGAAAACCTTCAAGACCTCCTATTATCAAGCAATTCACTTCAACAATTGCCTGAGACTATTGGTTTGTATTGCTTTCAAATACATATCATTAGTTTTTATTACTGTAAAAGCTAGAATTTAGCCTGTATTTGGTATCTTTTTTCAAGCCTATTTTTATTATAGTATAAAAGAAAATAATAGTCTAAATTGAGCCACTCCTCTGAGGGCTTTATACTTTATATTTGTATAGTTAATTTCACTCTTTAAAAAAAATTCTTGAGTTGCACTGTTTTTTAGTCTAAGGTTTGATTTTGCAAATTACCATATATACTTGTGTATAAGCTGAGTTTTTCATGCAGTTTTTATGGTAAAATTAGGTGCTTTGATATTCAGGTCGGCTTACACTCAAGTATGTACAGTAATTAGGAATTATCTTCTCTAATTTAACCTTTCTATTTTAAATAAAAATTAATTTTAATATTTATTACATGTAAAATAATGATAGTTCCTTGTGTAAACTACTTTCAAACTAACTGTTTATTTAATGTATTGGTTTGGGTTGTGTGCATCTTGTCTGTGCTGTGACATTGCTCTAGGAGTGGGGTTACAGCCGTGAAAGCTGACACAAAGTCCATAGTGCCGTGAACTTTACATTACTAGACATTTACGATATGCCCAGAGGTGGTCAATGTTGGTGAAAAGTGTAGGATAAAGACCTAGAGAGTGATGGGATTGGGATGATGTCTCTTAGGTATGTTGGTCAGGAAAGTTATTTCTGATTCATGTCAAAGGTGTTCATGTTGACCTGGTATATTTGCTTTTGTTGAAAGTTTCTGTTGTTTTTTTCCTCTGTAGGTTCTTTGAAGAATGTCACTACTCTTAAAATAGATGAAAACCAACTAATGTATTTACCAGATTCTATAGGAGGGTAAGCATTTTATGAGTTAAACTTAAAGATTTTGCCCTCAGCTCAGCATGTCATATGTGTGCATGCATCTGTACATACATATATTCAGATAATTGCATTAAATAATCTAGAGAGGATTTCATAAATGTTTAAATGAGAATTTGCATACAGATTGGCATATTTACAATAAAGATAGGCAGACCTGTTTATTATTGCTAAGTTTAGGTTAGTGAGAATTACTAAAACCAAGGTCAAATGTTCATGTGTTCTTAATCTTTTGGATTATACATAAAAACTTAATAATGTTAGTTTATTTTTTAACTAAAGGTTAACATCAATAGATGAACTCGATTGTAGTTTTAATGAAGTTGAAGCTTTGCCTTCATCTATTGGACAGCTTACTAATATAAGAACTTTTGCTGCGGATCATAATTATTTACAACAGTTACCACCAGAGGTATGAGAATTCAATTTTTTTCTTTCTACTTTCTCATCATTTTCTAATTATTAAAATTATAGCTATCCAGTTTGATTTTGTTTATTTTTCTTTCAGATGTAATTTAATCTGTTACTGGGTAATTTTAGAATAATAATTAGTTTAAATGTAGAAGAGGTAGCTAGATGATTTGTACATGAAAGATAATTAAAAAGTAAAAATTAAATTCATTTTACAAAAGCAAAGAATAGTTTTTAAAATATACAAATACTGTTCAAAAGGCCAAATAGCATTTTTATCATGGTTATTTTGTATCCATGTATTTTCTCCCATTTGTCCTTCTCTCAGCCTCTGGTAAACCACCTTTAAAACTTTTGTCTCTGCTTGCATTTTAGGTGTTTCATTTGATTGAGGTTATACATTATTTGATCTTTTGTGTCTGTTATTGACTCCGCATAAAGTTTTCATGGTTCATCTATGTCGTAACACTTCAGGTTTTTTTTATTTTTCCTTTTTTTAAAAATTTCCTTTACTTTTTGTTTGCCTTTGGTTTTTTTTCTCACTTTTATGTTATTGTGAATACTGCAGTGAACACAGCTATACAATAAACAAAAATATTTCATCCTTAATTTTGTTTCTCTTTCAGATTGGGAATTGGAAAAATATAACTGTGCTGTTTCTTCATTCTAATAAACTTGAGACACTTCCAGAGGAAATGGGTGATATGCAAAAATTAAAAGTCATTAATTTAAGTGACAATAGGTTTGTATTACTTAATCATTTGGTTTATAGAAGACATTGCTTGAATGTATGATATAAAGTCTAATGCTTTTATCCCCTCCTTTTTAATTACATGTTCCATTTTGGGTTGACTTCAGCAATACAGTTTTTATTCTCTCCTTGTAGCAACCTGTTTTGCTGTTGAACAAAACAGCTTTGAATCTAATGTATTGCTTATAATGTTCTGGGTAGAGGTACAGTTAAGCATTCACTCACATAGCTTGGGCAATCAGGCCAAAATCCCGAGTAAATAAATAAATTGGATTGCTAAATTCAACCAATGTTGAAGTTACATAGAATGTCAATAATTTTCCCTGAAATAAATGTACTAGTGAGAATGATAAAACCATATAAATAGAGCATATTTACATTCTGTTCTGTAAATATGTACATGATATCTATGCAATCTTTAAAACATCTCCATGGAGTAATATGATAGGTCATTCCATTTCATGAAGGAGAAAATTTGACTTAATTAGGTGACTCACACAAGGTCAGGCACCTTATAAAGTAGAGCTTTGATTTGAAATTCAGTTTTCTAACTAGTACATCTCCTGACTTCTGCTTACTTAAAAAAACAACAACACTGCTTTTCTTTGTTAATCCCTGTACCAGCTTGCGTTTTCTACTCATTGACTATAGCTCTGTAGCTAATACAGATTGATGTGGAAGATAAGCATAGAAAAGAGTTGATGGTGATTTGATAGTAGGGTTGAGTTACATAGACTTTTAAATACAGTGTCATTTTAGAGCGTATGTTACTTGTTTTCACTCATTATCACCTTAGGATAACCTTGTGTATGAAAATACTGACTCACCAGAAACTATAGCGCATTGCTTCCTGTAAGTTTTTCCCTCTCTGAATACAAATAAAATAGCCAAGACAGTTTTATGACACATTTCTTAATGTATCCCAGGCTTTGCTCTAAGGCAGTCAATTTATTATGTTTTTTCTTTAAACAGACAACTTTGTGAAGGTTATTTGAGTACCCATTTTATTAAGAGCTGAATTGAGTCATCTGAAAAAATTTTCAAATCCAAAAAGTCTTATTTCTTGTCTTATACAGAGGTCAATATTTGGATTTTCTCTTGAAGTAGCTGATTTTGTCTTTTTCCTCATACGAGAATATAGCATTATTTTGAAAGGACATTATTGTTAACTCTCAAATAGTTTTAAGTCTTTTTCATTTTAATGTTTAATTTTTACTTGTATTTTCCCCCTTACAGATTAAAGAATTTGCCCTTTAGCTTTACAAAGCTACAGCAATTGACTGCTATGTGGCTCTCAGATAATCAGGTAGGCAGTCTTACTTTGTAAATGACTGGAATTCCAGATTTATTATATAATTGTGTGTTCTAATTTACATAGGGACATTTAAAAATCGTTATGCTATGATACGCATGTAAAATTTTTGTATTTTTGTAAAATGTGTGCAAAGAAAATCTTAATAAATATATAGAAGCAAATCATTTTCATGAAGCAGTGGTAGACTCATAAAGACAAATTCTGTTAGATTTGTCGGATTACTCCTAAATCTGTAAAAAGAATGGGGAATCAGACTCAGAACTCCTTACCCTTAATAAGTTTTTGGTGATCTTGTAAGGCATATATGATTATTTAATTGTGTTTCTGTTTTTTAGTCATTTTATTGGGGGCTCATACAACTATTAACCATACATGCATACATTTTGTTTCAAACACATTTGTTGCCATCATCATTTTCAAAACATTTTCTTTCTACTTGAGCCCTTGGTATTAGCTCCTCATTCCCCCCCACTACTCATCCTTCCTCACGAACCCTTGATAATTTATAAATTATTATTTTTTCATGTCTTACACTGACCGGTAAACCCCCCACCAATAATGAGAGTAGGCATACCAGGAGCGTAAGGGAAAGGTGGGGCAGGAAGGGGAAATGATCACAATGATCTACATATAACCCCCTGCCTGGGGGATGAACAACAGAAAGTGGGTGAAGGGAGTTATCAGTCAGTTTTGTTTCTAATTGGGCCCTTTCACAGTCCTTAAGAAGTTTTTCTAAAAAATTAAGCGATTCCAGGAACTTTTTTCACCTGACATACACAACAGGCTTTAACTGTTTTGGGAAACTGGGATAAATTGGGGAAGAAATTGAGTTTTGTTCGCACTGAGTTTACATGACATTCTCATGGGCGAGAGAGAGTAAATATGTAAAATGAAGTTTCAGGTGGTGGTAAGTGCTAGGAAATGTAAGGGTAGTAGGGTTGGAGTAGATCTCCAGTTGTAAGTAGGGTGACGAGGAAATGGTAGAGCATGAGTGGCAGGATTGAACATTTGGTGAAATTTTCGGTGTAAAGGCCCTAATATGGTATGTTTGGGGTTTAAATAAAAAAGCAGTCGATTGCTGTGTAATGAGCAAGGGGCAGAATAAATCAGAGACGAAAGCTGGAACCAGGTCATTTATTGCCTTGTACAGAATGTAGTACTTGGAATTTCACTCTGGGTTAGATGGGCTCATTCTCAGTTGGACTGTTTCAATCAGGGAATGGTTAAGATTAGAGTTATTTTTAAAAGATCATCCTGACTGGTATGTGAATAATAAACGATGGCTGCTGAAGGTAAGAGTGGGAAACTCGAGATGCGAAGCATAGATACTATTATTGTTCCAGAAGAAAGATGTTAGCAGGCTTCAATTAGTGTAATAATAGTGGATTCGGGGTGTATTTTTAAGATTTTACTAGTGGAAATTACTGATAAGACGAAATGTGGAACTTAAGAGAAACAATCAGCTATGACTCCTAGGCTCTTATCTCAAAACGAAACAAAAAAATAATTTTACTGCCATCAAATTGAAGCCAACTACTAGATGACCCTTTGGGACAGGGTAGAACTAACTGCCCCTGTGTGTTTCTGTGACTGTAATCCTTTACAGAAATAGAAAGCCCCTTCTTTTCTCCTAAGGAACAGCTGGCGGGTTTGAACTGCTGACCTTAAAAATCTCAGCCCAACACATAACAACTGTACTGCTTGGGCTCTTTTTTAGCTCAAGCAAGCAGAATATTTGAGTTACTGTTTTCTGAGACAGGGAAAACAGAGGAGAGTACAAGTTTGGGTGGGGTTAATATCAGGAGGGTTTTTAAAAAAATAAGTTTATTATATATTTTTTATGTTTATTATATATTAATAAGGTAGGAATATGGTATCTGCAGTTGCCTATATAAGTTTGGCATTTGGCTGTTGATGGGAGCTATAAATTTGGGGAGCAATGTTTTACAAAGAAGGAATTTAAAACACTGTAAGTAGATGAGATACCTAAGGAGATTGAAAAGAAAAAAAGAACCAAAAATTGAACCCAAGGATAGAAAGGAGAATGAGAAAGACTTCTGAAGGAACTCAGGTGCAGCTGATAGGTGAGACTACTATTGTCCATTGGTGTCCAAATTAAAGGCAGGCAATTGCTGGCCCTGACATAGAGCAATTTCAGTGGGATAACGGGAATGAAGACCTGATTCAGTAGATGTAAAATGAACTCCCTGAGACACTCTTGAACTTAGATAGAATCAAGCCTTTCCTCTACCATCTTCTAGCAAATAACAGCAACACATACAATCAGAGCTATTATTACCAGTAAGATCGGTGCCTTATTAAACCATCTATCTGAGAACAATGTCTTTAAAGCAAAGATGAGATAATAAAGGATCAGGGAAGCAAACAACACAACTTAAAAGAATATTGACATATTGTGACAGTTATCGTTAGAACAGTGTGTAAGATGGGCATCCAGTCATTCTAGTCATGAATAGTTACACACACCTGCCATGAATATAAGGAGAAGAGCAGGTAATCTTTATGGTACATATTTTTCAGCCCCTCTATAAGGAAAAGGAGCCAGTTTAACATTTGAATGGACAAATGGTATGTTCAGATATATTTTAGAAAAACCATGTGGCTATATCTTAAAAGATGGATGATGCCAAATATGAAGGCAGGGAAAGTCGAATTGGAAAACATTGTACTACTCTAGACCAATGTTTCCCAAAGTGGATGATACTGAGGGAGGTGCTGTAGTAATGCAGGTGTTCCAAAGCAGATACACTTTATTCCGGACTAAGAGCTATAGTACGGAAAGAAGTTTTCAATTGCTAGCAGGTACTGTTTCTTCTTTTTTTTTCCTGGAAAGGAGGTGGTAGGTCAAATATGTTGGGTACCTTTTGATCTAGGCCAAGGATCAGGCAAACTTTTGAGACTGAAGAGCCAATCCTGTCCCTCAAAACAATTAAAAAATTATCCGAGAACCATAAATATATTTTTACAAACAACTGAAATAATTAATATCTGAATAACTTAAATTTTTTCAGTTTTACTTCAAAATCACATGTACAAACGAGCCTAATATGGCTCAGGAACCGCAGTCCTATGCTGTGGGAAATGTTAACTTGAGACAGAGTATAGTCAATAACATTAGACTAGGAAATGTTGGACTCTTAATGTCATTCCTAGAGGGTGGTTTCTTAACTTTCGGGTTTCTCGATTATTATTTTTTT